TCATAGGTACACGTCAACTATGACAGACAAAATGAGAAGAAAAAAAATCCAGAAAATCACATTGTAGGATTTTTTATGTATTTGGTCAATAACAAAAGTTTCTCAATACTTTGTTATATACCCTTTGTTGGCAATGACACAGGTCAAACGTTTTCTGTAAGTCTTCACAAGGTTTTCACACACTGTTGCTGGTATTTTGGCCCATTCCTCCATGCAGATATCCTCTAGAGCAGTGATGTTTTGGGGCTGTCGCTGGGCAACACGGACTTTCAACTCCCTCCAAAGATTTTCTATGGGGTTGAGATCTGGAGACTGGCTAGGCCACTCCAGGACCTTGAAATGCTTCTTACGAAGCCACTCCTTCGTTGCCCGGGCGGTGTGTTTGGGATCATTGTCATGCTGAAAGACCCAGCCACGTTTCATCTTCAATGCCCTTGTTGATGGAAGGAGGTTTTCACTCAAAATCTCACGATACATGGCCCCATTCATTCTTTCCTTTACACGGATCAGTCGTCCTGGTCCCTTTGCAGAAAAACAGCCCCAAAGCATGATGTTTCCACCCCCATGCTTCACAGTAGGTATGGTGTTCTTTGGATGCAACTCAGCATTCTTTGTCCTCCAAACACAACGAGTTGAGTTTTTACCAAAAAGTTATATTTTGGTTTCATCTGACCATATGATATTCTCCCAATCCTCTTCTGGATCATCCAAATGCACTCTAGCAAACTTCAGACGGGCCTGGACATGTACTGGCTTAAGCAGGGGGACACGTCTCGCACTGCAGGATTTGAGTCCCTGGCGGCGTAGTGTGTTACTGATGGTAGGCTTTGTTACTTTGGTCGCAGCTCTCTGCAGGTCATTCACTAGGTCCCCCCGTGTGGTTCTGGGATTTTTTCTCACCGTTCTTGTGATCATTTTGACCCCACGGGGTGAGATCTTGCGTGGAGCCCCAGATCGAGGGAGATTATCAGTGGTCTTGTATGTCTTCCATTTCCTAATAATTGCTCCCACAGTTGATTTCTTCAAACCAAGCTGCTTACCTATTGCAGATTCAGTCTTCCCAGCCTGGTGCAGGTCTACAATTTTGTTTCTGGTGTCCTTTGACAGCTCTTTGGTCTTGGCCATAGTGGAGTTTGGAGTGGACAGGTGTATTTTATACTGATAACGAGTTCAAACAGGTGCAGTTAATACAGGTAATGAGTGGAGGACAGAGGAGCCTCTTAAAGAAGAAGTTACAGGTCTGTGAGAGCCAAAAATCTTGCTTGTTTGTAGGTGACCAAATACTTATTTTCCACCATAATTTGCAAATAAATTCATAAAAAATATAGTTGACGTGTACCTATGATGAAAATTACAGGCCTCTCTCATCTTTTTAAGTGGGAGAACTTGCACAATTTGTGGCTGACTAAATACTTTTTTGCCCCACTGTATGTAAATAAGGTATTTCAGTTTTTTAGCTTCAATAAATGTAATAAAAAAACATTTCTAAAAACCTGTTTTTACTTTGTCATTATGGGGTATTGTGTGTAGATTGATGAGTAATACTTTTTATATAATCCATTTTAGAATAAGGTTGTAACATAAAATGTGGAAAAAGTCAAGGGGTCTAAATACTTTCCGAGTGCACTGTATAATCAAACGCAAACAATTCACACAATGAAGATATGAAACAGTGAATGTGCACAAATTGGCGGGAGAGAGCGCATTCTGGAGAGAGAAGTGCATTGTGCATCTGGGCGCTGCATGGTCAATCCAACGTCTGCATTGGCCATGCAGCATTTATGGTGATTCGGCCTCTGCAGAAGTCAGGGTATTCATAGTTATTGCGCTTCGCGGAGCAGTGCAGAGCTGATGTGAAATAAGTTGTCAAGGAAGTAAGTTTGTGTTTACACAGGATGTAACACCCCCACCTACCATCAACCAATCATGTCAATGCGGAGCTATACAGAGCCCTCCGCATTGTTAAAACATTTGGGAGGCCATGGCGATGCGCTACTGGGCTCGATTTGGTCTCTGCATGCCTCTGGAGGCTCCGCAAATGCATCACACCCTCCATATGGAGCCCCTGACCACATTTTCGGATCAAGCATAAATTGACTTTTAGTCTAGGCCTCCGCAATGGATTGGTTCACTGAGATGGGTGCATATATATATATATATATATATATATATATACAGTGGGGAGAAAAAGTATTTGATACACTGCCGATTTTGCAGGTTTTCCTACTTACAAAGCATGTAGAGGTCTGTAATTGTTATCATAGGTACTCTTCAACTGTGAGAGACGGAATCTAAAACAAGAATCCAGAAAATCACATTGTATGATTTTTAAGTAATACATTTGCATGTTATTGCACAACATAAGTATTTAATCACCTACCAACCAGTAAGAATTCCGGCTCTCACAGACCTGTTAGTTTTTCTTTAAGAAGCCCTCCTGTTCTCCACTCATTACCTGTATTAACTGCACCTGTTTGAACTCGTTACCTGTATAAAAGACACCTGTCCACACACTCAATCAAACAGACTCCAACCTCTCCACAATGGCCAAGACCAGAGAGCTGTGTAAGGACATCAGGGATAAAATTGTAGACCTGCACAAGGCTGGGATGGACTACAGGACAATAGGCAAGCAGCTTGGTGAGAAGGCAACAACTGTTGGCGCAATTATTAGAAAATAGAAGAAGTTCAAGATGATGGTCAATCACCCTCGGTCTGGGGCTCCATGCAAGATCTCACTTCGTGGGGCATCAATGATCATGAGGAAGGTGAAGGATCAGCCCAGAACTACACGGCAGGACCTGGTCAATGACCTGAAGAGTGCTGGGACCACAGTCTCAAAGAAAACCATTAGTAACACACTACGCCGCCATGGATTAAAATCCTGCAACGCACGCAAGGTCTCCCTGCTCAAGCCAGCGCATGTCCAGGCCCGTCTGAAGTTTGCCAATGACCATCTGGATGATCCAGAGGGGGAATGGGAGAAGGTCATGTGGTCTGATGAGACAAAAATAGAGCTTTTTGGTCTAAACTCCACTCGCCGTGTTTGGAGGAAGAAGAAGGATGAGTACAACCCCAAGAACACCATCCCAACCGTGAAGCATGGAGGTGGAAACATCATTCTTTGGGGATGCTTTTCTGCAAAGGGGACAGGACGACTGCACCGTATTGAGGGGAGGATGGATGGGGCCATGTATCGCGAGATCTTGGCCAACAACCTCCTTCCCTCAGTAACAGCATTGAAGATGGGTCGTGGCTGGGTCTTCCAGCATGACAACGACCTGAAATACACAGCCAGGGCAACTAAGGAGTGGCTCCGTAAGAAGCATCTCAAGGTCCTGGAGTGGCCATCTCAAGGTCCAGACCTGAACCCAATAGAAAGTCTTTTGGAGGGAGCTGATAGTCCGTATTGCCCAGCAACAGCCCCGAAACCTTAAGGATCTGGAGAAGGTCTGCATGGAGGAGTGGGCCAAAATCCCTGCTGTAGTGTGTGCAAACCTGGTCAAGACCTACAAGAAACGTATGATCTCTGTAATTGCAAACAAAGGTTTCTGTACCAAATATTAAGTTCTGCTTTTCTGATGTATCAAATACTTATGTCATGCAATAAAATGCAAATGAATTACTTAAAAATCATACAATGTGATTTTCTGGATTTTTGTTTTAGATTCCGTCTCTCACAGTTGAAGTGTACCTATGATAAAAATTACAGACAAAATCGGCAGTGTACTTGTTCTCCCCACTGTATATATGATACTGCTCAACTAAAAAAAATTAGGTCGACCAAACAATTGACCAGTCGACTAATTGGGGTCAGCCCTAAATTCAAGAGTTAAATTAAGACTCTAAAGAGTGAAATTAACATTCAGTGGTGTAAAATAACCCCATCATTATCATATTTCCGAGCATGCTCTACTGCAGGTAGATTTTTTGAACTGTTTGTTTCAATAGCTATGCTTTTACATTGATTGATTCATTAATATTGTGCTACTCAAATATAAATAACATACTTTTGTAAACTATTCCAATCTGTTACTTGGACTTATTGCACCCATTACTGAAATGGTTGTTCCAATTTAAATGTTTAAGGTAGTCTCACATCCTGGTCTTCCCAACACTGGCAGTCATTCTGAATGCAGGTTGCGTTTATATTACATTTACATCATTTAGTAGACGATTAAAATTCCAAATGTTGGCTATCCCCACTCCAATAGGAATTACTCATCACTTTACAAGCCAGCATAATGTGACTTGCAGTCCTGATGTGGCCCGTAAACCATGAGTTTTAGGACACTATATTAGGGTAAAAATAGGCCTTGTAAAATGTGTATTGTCTTTATGAATTTAATTTTAATGACAACAGATCCATTTAGGATTTCACTTGGTGAGGGCCACTGGACTGAACATGAATTAATGCAACAACCATGTCTCTAGCACTAGCAAACACACGTATGGGTGGTACTGGTAACGCAAACATTTACTCTTAAGGCACCCTAGAGCAGGGCTATTTAATTCTGGTTTCTAGTTTTTGATTTTTGTATCATTCTTCAAAGAACTATCCCTAAAATGGTTCCCCTATGGCGTCACTCTCAAGAACCTTATTTGGTTCCAACAAACCCTTACCCTGTAGATCTTCAGAAAAAAAGTTGACACTCCGTTTCACATATATCCACTCATATGGAATTCAGGACTTTATTGAGCAATAAAAAATATACACCAGGGAAAATATTTTCCATTTTCCGTTAATCCTTCATATTTTTCCATCCACGAAATCTGATTAAATTCTTCCGCATATTAGACCCATGATCCAAAAGGAAAACTGAAAAAAAGGGGCAGTCAGTTATTCAACAGTAAAAGTAGATCAGCTGGAATGAGTTCAAAAGCATTTCTGTTTCATTGTTTTAAAACGATTCGAGGAGGAGGATTGAGAGAGAGAGAGAGGTTTTGGTTTAACAGACGTTGTGACAGATGTTGAAAGGCTAGGGCGCCGCTGTCACCGCAACATCCAACTCTGCCACATCCTTATCCTCCCCATAGAGTTCTGCCAGTTTCTGAAATTCGGGCCCCCAGTCATCCAGATAGTTATAATCCCGTTCTGAGTGTGTTCCCGGGGAGTCCAGAGAGCTGATGGAGCCTGTGGGCGACCCTTGACCCTCGTATGCGTAGGTCTGGAGGGAGTCATAGGGAGGCCCGCTAGTGTCCATGTCTGCCTCCACTAGTCTCTGTTTAATAAACTTCTGCACATTCAGCTGGTCCAGCTCTGGGGGACTGTGGCAGCCCCGTGCCGGTCCGCCACATTGTCGGGCCGCCTGTGGCCGGACGTCCCGTCGGAACTTGAGCTCTTCGGCGGCGGCGGGGTTCCGCAGGGCAATAATGTCGAAGGCCTCGGTGTCCTCTTCGCCGCCGCCCTCGTCGTCGTAGGTTACCACGTTCTCACGCACGTCCTCCTCTGAGATGATGAGGGGCTCCTTCTTGCTCCGCCGCAGGGTGATGAACAGAACCACGATCACTGGAGGAAGACAAGGACAGATGCTGTGTCAACAACAACATCATCAACAACAACAATAATAGAAACAATGCCAACAAAAAAAACTGTGAACAGAATCACAATTGCTGTAAGAAGAGAGAAATGAACAGAGATATCATGTCAATAACAACGACAACAAAATGGTGATGAACAGAGCCATGATCACTGCAGAAGAGTGACAAGCAGAGACACCATGTCAACAACAACAACAACAACAATAATGGAGACAACAATGCCACACCAGAGAGTGATGAACAGGTAGAGACGCCATGTCAACAACTACAACAATAACGACTGTAATGGAAACAACATCAACAAAACGGTTGGTTTAACAACACCACATCATTATTGTAGCAGTCGAGACGCTATGATATCCAAGCCTGGTCGCATGCTAATTTCATGCACTGCATGTGGTGTTGGTATGTCATTTATTAAAGTCATAAAACATTTACATGTTTTGGGTCGTAAACAGCTAACAAAATAAAAGCTTTGGTTGCATCCCAAATGGCATTATATTCCCTATAAAGGGAATAGGGTACCATTAAGAATGAAGTCTTTGAAACATCCCCTCCATTTTATTATAATGCATATTAATTCCTGATTATACACAGAAGCTAGCGGAGCTGTAAATCAGTAATACACATTAGCCATCATTAGTATTAGCTGTGATGATGCTCTGAATGCAAGCTGCTAGGATGCTGATGAGAATCTTCTCATTATAGGCTGCGTCCCAATTGGCACCCTATTCTCTACATAGTTCACTACTTTTGACCAGGGCCCGTTCTTTATTTTTGCACATTACATATTTTAATGTAATGTGAAATTGGCCTCGTGAAATTATTGTCAAAACTGCAAGAGAGACTGTTCCAACTCCAAAGCAACTGCATGTGGCGCCGGAACCATTGACTTGCTGCATTTTTCTATTATTAGAAAAAGGTCTCCCGAGTGGCGCAGTGGTTTAAGGCACTGCATCGCAGTGCTAGCTGTGCCACTAGAGATCCTGGAGATCCTGGATCCAGTCGTAGGCGGCCGCGACCGGGAGACCCATGGGGCGGCGCACAATTGGCCCAGCGTCGTCCAGTGTAGGGGAGGGAATGGCCGGCAGGGATGTAGCTCAGTTGGTAGAGCATGGCGTTTGCAACGACAGGGTTGTGGGTTCGATTCCCACGGGGGCCCAGTATGAAAACAATAAAAATAATATGTATACACTCACTAACTGTAAGTCGCTCTGGATAATAGCGTCTGCTAAATGACTAAAATGTAAATTAAGATGCTTGCTGGTAAACTCTTAACTGGTTTGGACAACTCATGAGATCTCCTAAATATCTGTCGACTAGGTTGGACTCCTACAACTAAAGAGGCTTCATGCATAGCTTTTATTTTTACCCATTAGAGAAGGAGTAAAATGTCTCTATTCTAAGCACTTACAAAAAAATATATACTCTGAGATGCTTTGTGGATACACAAAGATACAAAGCATCTCAGAAAAGGTCTTAGGAATCCTGCTAAAACCTGTTTTAAAAAATCTCCCAGCTCAGAGTAGGTATTAGGATGATGTTAAGGAGTAAAATCAACTCAAAGGTTCATTTTAGCAGGTAATCACGACAGTTTGACGTACCGAAAAGGAAAGATGGTGATGACGCTCATTGACATTGTTGCAAATGATGGGGAATAACCAATCGCGATGAGGCATTGCAAGCTGTGAACTCTATAGCATGCTTCAGACATCCACTGTGAATGTGACTGTACATCAAATGTTGCAATGGTAAAACGTTTGATATCAATTTTGCCTGACACGATCAGTTTGCCTACTCTTAATTATTGCCTAATAAGTTGACATGCATAACCTTTTTTTTAACCAATTCTGATGGTTGTTAAGAGTTGAATTTTGACAATATTACCGTTATATCAACACACTCGTCACTCCCGTTTAACAACTCTAAATCGCTTTGGCACAGTAGGCATCACGTCACTTGCCGATAATGTTGCATACAATGTTGCATCCAACGTTTGAAAGGTCCATCATTTTCATTGAACACAATCAAAGTTAACATAAGCCTTCAAAGTTAACATACCTTCAATTGCCCAACTTATAGGCATGCCCAATTTAGGATAATTTTTTACAACGTGATGTTGCGCTCCAAATGGATAACTTGAAATAACATTTTTACATTTTGTTACATTTTTAGTCATTTAAGTCATTTATTTTCATAATGTAGGTAATTAATAATCAAAAGAAAAATGTATTTATTTATTAGCCTAGTGGTTATAAGTATTTAAGCATATCATGTGAAATGTTGGGCTGAAGCTACTGACCCGGAAGCTTGGCTCGCTCACTCCTCCCAGACTTTTGGGAGGGTGGACAATGAGCTTGTCATAGCAGATGTACGCAATGTCCCCGCGCTCTCTGGCAGCTTTCATAGCTGGGATAAGTTCTTTACGCCTCTGGCGCACAGCTTCAGAGAAGTCCTCGTTGAGGAAGATGTTGGTTCCTCTCAAGTTCTTGGCTCTCTTCATAACAGCCATCTTGTCCTTGAACCTTTGACCACTATCGGCCTGGATCTGTCACCTGGGCTGGTTACAGGTTTTCCAAACCTGTGGATGTGCTCCACCTCAATCTTCCTATGATCCAACTGCAGCTTTTCGGTGTTAATATTTCTCACCTTCTCCTCAGACTCCACCCAGGTCTCATGTGGAGACTCTGGTATGCCATCCACAACAATGTTATTCCTCCTGGATTGGCCCTTTACATAGTCGGTTTCCCCAGTTATCTGTAATAATGATTCACAGACAGTGTTGATGTCATCTCATGTGGACTTACAGTTTGCTGTCATCTTGCTGCAAGTCTCTTTCAGGACATCCACCTCTCCCTGGGAGAACTGCAAACTGTTCTTAAGGTCTTGGACCTCTGTGGTCAGATCGTCTACTCTTTTGTTAGTTGATTCCACCAGTAGCTATTTTCCTGTTGCTGTAACAATTAATTTAAAAGATCACGCAACTGTGATAGCGAAATACTGTCCTCTCTATTACTCCAACCTTCTTTAACTTTGGGCGGCATGATGGTAGCAACGTAGGCTAATGCTCGTACTCCACAGAATTCCAGCCAGCACAGCTCGCAGGGCCGATGGAAACAGCAACATACAGCAGGGATTTAAACAGCCAGAAGCCGGGGACTATCCCATCCATAAGGGCTAACGGCATCGCGGGATGTGTTCAAACTGTCAAGGAAACCTGGCTAGCTTGATAGCTAGCAGCTAGACTAGCTGTTTCGCCAAGCAGCAGCTCTTCAGACTTTAGGATTTGGCAGTGTCCCGGGATAGATAGTAGCGGTCCCAGCAACTGAGGATAACCACATCGCAAGATCCAAATTAAACAGCTAGGCTGTTTTCTCATTCCGCGTTCAGCCCTGGGCCCATATCCACAACGCATCTCAGAGTAGAAAACGTGTTGTTAGTGCTGTTAATAGAGACATTTTACTCCTACTCTTATGGGTAAAAATAAAAGTGATGCATGAAGCCTCTTTAGTCATATGAGTCACACCAAGTCACAGATATTTAGGACACCTCATGAGCTGTCCTAACCAGTTAAGAGTTTCCAGCAGGTGTCTTAATAGAAAAATGCAGCGAGTCAGTGGTTCCTACACCGCATGCAATTGCTTTGGAGTTGGTAAAATAATGTTTTGATATTTCTATATGATCAATCCATAAATACTCTAGACCTGCAACAGTATCTCTTGCGCAGTATCTCTGAAGCGACGCATGCTATAGCGTTCACAGCTGGCAGTGCCTCATCACGATTGGTTATTCCCCAATTTGCAACAATGTGAATGAGAGTCATCACCATCTTTCCTTTGCGGTACCTCAAACTGTCGTGATTACCAGCTGATAAACTTTTCTGAGTTTATTTTACTCCTGGCTCAGAGTTTGTCATCCTAAAAAACTGGGATTTTTTTGTCTTAAAACAGGTTTTAACAGGATTCCTAAGACACTTTCTGAGATGCTTTCTGAAAACGGGCCCAGGTCTCTCCTCGGTTCTAGCAAGACACACGCAGTAGTACACACTACCACACTCACTGTCACTTGCCTGCCACTCCACAAACCCAAAGGCTCTTTTAAGAGCCACCTCATCAATTCAAATAAGTGTGTGTTGTATGTGTGTGTGTGTGTGCGCGCTATGATGAAACTGGCTCTCATGAGGACCGCCACAGGAAAGGAAGATCCAGATTTACCTCTGCTGCAGAGGATAAGTTCATTAGAGGTAACTGCACCTCAGAAATTGCACAGAGTATAAGTAACAGACATATCTCAACATCAACTGTTCAGAGGAGACAGCGTGAATCAGGCCTTCATGGTCGAATTGCTGCAAAGAAACCACTACTAAAGGACACCAATAAGAAGAAGAGACTTGCTTGGACCAAGAAACACAAACAATGGACATTAGAACGGTGGAAACCTGTCCTTTGGTCTGATGAGTCCAAATTTGCGATTTTTGTTTCCAACCGCCGTGTCTTTGTGAGACGCAGAGTAGGTGAACAGATGATCTACGCATGTGTTGTTCCCACCGTGAAGGATGGAGGAGGTGGTGTGATGGTGTGGGGGTGCTTTGCTGGTGACACTGTGGGTGATTTGTTTAGTATTCAAGGTACACTTAACCAGCATGGCTACGATAGCATTCTGCAGCGATACACCATCCCATCTGGTTTGCGCTATTATTTGTTTTTCAACAGGACAATGACCCAAGACACACATCCAGGCTATGTAAGGGCTATTTGACCAAGGAGAGTGATGGAGTGCTGCATCAGATGAACTGGCCTCCACAATCACCCAACATCAACCCAATTGAGATGGTTTGGGATGAGTTGCACCGCAGAGTGAAGGAAAAAGCAGCCAAGAAGTCCTCAGCATATGTTGGAACTCCTTCAAGACTGTTGGAAAAGCATTCCTTATGGAGCTGGTTGAGAGAATGCCAAGAGTGTGCAAACCTGTCATCAAGGCAAAGAAATGGTGGCTACTTTGAAGTATCTAAAATATAACATGTATTTTGATTTGTTTAACACTTTTTTGGTTAATACATGATTCCATATGGGTTATTTCATAGGTTTGATGTCTTCACTATTATTCTACAATGTAGAAAATAGTAAAAATAAAGAAAATACTTGAATGAGTAGATGTGTCCAAACTTTTGACTGGTACTGTATATGCTGCCACCACCGTACTTCACCGTAGGGATAGTGTCAGGTTTCCTCCAGACGTGACGCTTGGCATTCAGGCCAAAGAGTTCAATCTTGGTTTCATCAGACCAGAAAATCTTGTTTCTAATGGTCAGAGTCCTTTAGGTGCCTTTTGGAAAATTCCAAGATGGCTGCCATGTGCCTTTTACTGAGGAGTAGCTTCCGTCTGGCAACTCTACCATAAAGGCCTGATTGGTGGAGTGTTGCAGAGATGGTTGTCCTTCTGGAAGGTTCTCCCGTCTCCACATAGGAACTCTGGGGCTTTGTCAGAGTTACCATCGGGTTCTTGGTCACCTCCCTGACCAAGGCCCTTCTCCCCCGATTGCTATGTTTTGCCGGGCGGCCAGCTCTAGGAAAAGTCTTGGTTGTTCCAAACTTCTTCCATTTAAGAATGATGGAGGCCACTGTGTTCTTGGGGACCTTCAATGCTGCAGAAATGTTGTGGTACCCTTCCTCAGAGTTGTGCCTTGACACAATCCTGTCTCGGAGCTCTAAGGACAATTCCTTCGACCTCTTGGCTTGGTTTTTGCTCTGAAATGTATGTGAAAGTAAGTTGATCTTATTCAGGCAATGGGTGCAGCCATCTTTGAATTAGTTTATTTGCGTCTTATAGTGAATGGCATTCTGGAATTGGTCAATTTTCGCTTGTCAAACATTAACAAACATGGCTGCCATCATAACGAATTTAGCCACAGTTAGCTTAGCTGACGCGTACTCTCTGTGTGTGTGTGTGTGTGTGTGTGTGGGTTACCTTCACCGACTCAACAGCACCCACCATCTTTTCCACCAAACTTCAAAAATCTCACTCCCACTGGACCAAACGTATCTTTATCATAACCATGTCCATCAATGCAAGGCTTGGGCTCCGATCTCCTCACAACACTTTCTACCACTTCCATTTCAACTCCAGAACTCGAACTGGCGTCCGGCTCACTCTGTTTGAACTTGACACCAATCTTCCTCGACATACCCTCTCCCTTGTTATTACTAGCTTCAACAGATTCAAACCCATCCTCTGCCTGCCTCAGTCTTTTCAACCTCCTCTCTCTTTCCCTCCTATCCTGCTCCCTTAACCAATTACCCGACTCCTTCTGAAAATATTCAACTTTTCCAAGCTGAAATCTATTTTTAGCCTCCTCGAGAGACATGCTAAGCCCTGTACTACAATGTTGAAACTTCCTTCTCAAAAGTCATCGGCACAAGACATTTGCTTTTCACCAGGACGCTCAATCACAGACAATCTGTTCATAATCAGGGACATGCCTGTCAAGGCTTTCAAATGTGAACTTTGAAATGGTTTCCTTGGACCAGGAGAAAGCCTTTGATCGGGTGGACCATGAATATCTATTCAATGTGTTGTCTTGTTTTGGTTGTGGGGAGAATTTTGTGGCCTGGATTAAAGTGTTGTACGCTGGGTCTTTATGTATGGTCAAGGTGGGGGGAGGGCTCAGTAGGCCAGTCTGGGTAGGGCGGGGCATTCGCCAGGAATGCCCTCTGTCAGGGCAGCTATACACTCATTATTCAGTCCTTTCTGGGCCTGTTACGCAGGAGACTACAGGGAGTGTGTGAGCCAGGCATAGGGTTGCGGATAGGCATAGCAGTGTCAGCATATGCTGATGATGGAGCAGGGAATACGGGCCCTGGAGAATAGTTTGAGGGTGTACGAGGGGGCGTCTTCAGCTATGGTAAACTGGAGCAAGAGTGAAGCTCTGTTATGTGGGGCTTGGAGGGACAGGGCACCTCCACAGCTTCCAAGGGGGTTGCAATGGTGCTGTGAGGGTCTCAAGATGCTTGGGGTGTCTGGGCTCGGAGGGGTGGGTTAGGAAGAACTGTGAAGGAGTGTCACAAGCAGTGCTGTCAAGGTTGACGAAGTGGAGGTGGCTCCTTTCCCAAGTGTCATACAGAGGGAGGGTGCTGATCATCTACAACTTGGCAGCATCCTCCCTATGGCATAAATTGGCCTTTCTCAACCCGCCGGCTGTCTGCTTGCGGACTTGCAGCGCAAGTTAGTGGATTTTTTTCTGGTCGGGACATCACTGGTTGAGGGCGGGGGTCAAGGCCTGGTGGACCTGGAGAGCAGGGTGGAAGGGTTCCGACTCAAAGCGGCACAGAAGCTACTCTACCACACTGATGTGGGCTGGAGGGAACCAGCATGTGCTCTATTGAGGAGGGATGGCGGTTTGGGGCTAGATCGGCAGCTTTTCCTCATGCGGCCGGACAGACAAAACATAGCAGGGTCTCTTATTTTTGTGCTGCAGTACTGAGGGCCTGGCAGCTGCTGAGACCCACACGAGAGGGGGATATGGCGCCTGGGCCATGGGTGTGGGAGGAGCCCATCTTCCACAACCCACTTATCCCTTTGAGGTCCGCTCATTCAGCCACCCTGCACGAATGTATAATGGCAGCAGGCATCAAGAGACTAGCAGACCTACGGCTGCCGGGGGGTGGAATCCACCCCCCCAAGAGATGGCACAGCAGGCGGGACTGACAAGGGCAACAGACCCGGTGTTATTATTCAAATGTGTGGTCTCTGTTTGCCTTAGGGTTGAGTTCGAGTTTTACAAAATGATCAACAGTGTGGAGATGTTTCTGGAGGTATGGGGGCTCAGGTGGGCTGTCTGTATGGCTGGAGAGGAGGGGCTGGATGTACGGTTGTAATGTGGTGCTGGAGGGTGTATTGTATTGTACTGTGTTGTTGTGTACTGTGTAATGTGATTGTGTGGAGGTTATGGTGGCACACAATGCGTTTCTTTTGGGGGGTGGGTGTTTGTTGTGTTTTAAGTGTATTGAGGATGGCTCATTAAAGTAAGACCATCAGTCAGTCAATTTCTCTCACTCTGCAGTCTCTCACTCTGCAGTCTCTCACTCATGCGTTTGTTCCAAACAGTGATGATGGCCTTTAGTTGCTGGGTGCCTCAGTCTCTGACAAAGCCGTGGTGAGACTGCTGATATGAATATGCATCACCTTCACGCACCGATGTCCACAGACAATCAAGGGAGATGGGGTGAGTGGGTGATGGCGGATTCTGTTAATTATACACAGTCTCTTCACTGTCCTACCACTGTTCTGTTTGCTCTAGAGAGGCTCTTTGTTGGTATTTGGCTGTGGTGGCAGTGTCGTTTCCCCTTTGCTGAAAGGGGGAAACGGATGGTTGTATTCTGTGGCACATGAATTCTCTGTAATCTCTGATTATAAAGCATTTACTATACAACACATTCATTTAACCTAAATAGTGTGTTTATCCTGACTCTATGGAAATAGAAAGTATCAGAAAATCTCTGGACAGGTCTAACACAGCTCTATCCCCTTTCTATGCCACACTCTCTTAAGTCTCCGTGTCCCTTCCTTTCCCTCCTTCTATTCTCCTCTTAGTCCTTTTGTCTTCACTTATCCACTCCCCATCTGGCCCACTCACTAACTCTCTGTTCTCCACTTCTACATCATCCTGACCTTGTCCCTATCCTCCCTCATTCTAAAACCCGCTTGTGTCCTTCCTTACCATTCCATTCATCTCTCTCCCTCTCTCCTCGTCTGCCTGGTCATCCCTCCTTCTGCTGCTGCTCTACTCCCTACACTTCACCATGTCTCCAGGCGTTTTAACGCCCAAACCCTCAGACAAGATGCCCCCCAGGTGTTCCACAACCATGCCCTAAAGCGTGATGCCATCCAGGCGTGCACCCATACCCATCATCCCCACCTAAGGCGTGCACCCATACCCTCCTCCCTAGGCTTGATGTTACCCAGACAACACCTACCCAGCAAGATGACGATGCACAGCAGGATGGCGATCAGAGCCCCTGTGCTGAGGCCTGCTGAGGAGAGGAGGCCCCTCTCGTCCTGGCACGTCTGCACCCTCCCGTTCCACTGACATGGGCACACCCGCAGGGTCAGTGTGCTGGTGCCGCTCAGTGCCGGCTCCCCACCATCCCACACTACGATGGGCAGCTCATACAGCTCTTGGACCAGTCGGCTGAACCGCCTCCGCCGCGCAATGATGCTGGCCGTGTTGTCTGGAACGAGAGAGAGACAGAGAGAGAGCGGGGAGAGAGAGAAGAAATGCACTCATTAGGGCAAATTAGAGGAGAGGACTCATTCAGGATGACTCGCTACCCATGCTGCACTTCCCATTAGGAGAGATTCTGTCCAGAGCGCTCCACTCTAACCCACTTCCACAGATGGATTTTTAATGGAGATAGTGAGCAAATGTACTTTCACTTTGAAATAGAAAATGCTTCCATTCCACAATCTAACGATATACACATACATGCTTCTTGTCTCTCTCAAGCTGGTAAATGTCTCTTTCGCTGTGTCTGTTATCTCTGTTTGTTGTTTACGTTTCTACCGGTCATAGTTCATGTCCGAGTCATTACAATAAACCACTAAATAAGCAGTTCACCTTGAACATCCATGAGGCCACTCTACTAATAAAGGTGAGACAGGAAGGAAAGAGAAATAAAAGAAAGATGGAAAAGGGGAAATAAAAGGAGGTATTCCAGTGGAGGTTGTGAGAGGCGCTGGCTCTCACAGAGGCACTGTAGTGTAAAGTAGTAGCTACCAAACTAGTGTTCCTAGACCTCCACCACCTCCCATTCCAATCTCTACTCCATCTATGAATAATTATAATGATTGACAGTCAGAATGACAACACATACTTCAAGCTTTATTAACTCAGACTCGCAGTATCACGTTATCAGCAAGAAAGGAGGGGGCGGGAGAGAGAGAGAGAGAGAGAGAGAGCTGTAAGATAAAGGGAGAGAAACCCGGGAGAGACAAAGGAACAGGGTACAAGAAAAGAAAGAGAGAGTGATGTTTGGTATTCACGATCATAACTTGCATATCTGAAGCCCAGATCTATGATAATATAAACTACATTAGAGCCTTCTGGTGTGCAGGGACAAATCAAAGGGTTCTATGTGGCACCCAAAAAGCTTCCCCCAAAGGGAAAAATTACAAAATGTCTATTGGTTCTAATCTTTTAACAATATTTACCATACAGTGGTGTAGGAGGAAATTCAGGCAGCTGGCAACAGAGAATATGAGTTCAAATCCCAAGTGAGCCTGACTCCCAACTAATCAGAATCACGCCCCTCATCATCATCATATTTCCCAGCATGCTCTATTGCAGTTAGATTTTTAGAATTGTTTGTTGCAATATCTGTGTTTTGCATGTACATTGATTGATTAATCAATTAATTGATCTTATGCAACACAAAGATAAATAACATACATTTTTCTAAACTAATCCAATCTGTTAGGTGGATTTACTGCACCCATTACTGAAATGGTTGTTCCAGTTTAGATGGTTTAGGTAGTCTCATTCCTTTTCACCCTGGAAGTTATTCTGAATGCAGATCGTGGGAATCCACTCTGGCTGGATTCGAATTGGAATTAAATATCACTTTGCCAGCATAATGTCACTTGATGCTATTTTTGCGTTAGCTTATGCTAGTCACCAGTGAAAAAACAACAAAGGCTGGTCTGCCAGCATAACCAGCTAGACCATGCAGTTCAGACCAGCTTGACCATACTGGTATGCCAGCATAACCAGCATCCGATCAGCTTGAAATGTATGCTGGTCTATGCTGTTTTTTACAGCATGGTCCATGTCATTATCCTCGCAAGAGGAGGGTGCTAGAGTATTGAAAACAGGGATGCCAATAATTTTGACCCATTTTTTTTTCTTTTTTTCGTTAAACAAAAGCTCTTTCTCTGAGCAATTGTATTAGTATAAAATAATCAATTTCCCAGTTTTTGGGAGCATACAATATAGCTTCATATTTGTATTTATTTTATACAGCCTTTTTTGCTCGTCTTTATCAGGGGTGCCAATAATTATGGACCTGATTGTAGCTAGGACTATTGACTGTTAATTAATGTGTGTGTGTGTGCGTGCATGTGTGTTTTTTGAGGTTGCAAGACTACTGTGTACCTTTGGGGATTCCCCCTGGGTTTGCTAAGCACAAGTACAAACCACTCACTGGCAAATAGCTTCCTTTTTATACCAGAGCCAATTCCTCTGCTATAGCATTTCCATACAGAGTGATAGAGATGTCACTTATGCAACTCATCTTTCTTTTTTTTTATCCGTGTGAAGTTATGAAATTAAGAGAGTTGAGAGCCTTTACAGTTGGTAAAAAACTTTATTGGAAATGGTGATGAGCACCAGATAAACAGATTTCAAATGTGTTCTCTGGGGCTTTCTTTCAACATTGATGAATCAGACATCAACTGGCAGCTTTCTCACTAGTAGCTAGACATATCGCGGAAATTCAGCATTACAGTGTGATTTAAATTGAAAAGCAATGTTCCCGCGTTAGCGGAGACTACATTCATGGTAAATGCTGCAGGTGTCAGCTCAATAGGAAATTACCTTTCTTCAGCGATACAGAATGAATAGAGCCCTAAGTATTTTAATGTCTAGCTGACTCAGACTCAAAATGCATCTACCTCATGCCTCGTGCAAATAGATGCTTTTTATGTATGCTTTTTGATATGAATGTCTTAGTGTCTTACCCCAGTTAGCAAACCAAGCACATTTTGGAGTTAAGAATTATTGTAAACACTGGATTCTTACAGTACTCTATGGCACAAATACTCCCAAAGCTATACTAGATAATCGTGTCTCAAATGTTAGATAGATATAGAGCACCAATGGCAAATTGCTGTATGAATGATACATAAGCTAATTAAAATCCCAAATATTAATGGCTTGACAGCGCTGCTTTCTACCAAGCTGATTAGCTTGTATAATAAAAGGTCCTCTGTATGAAAAGCCTTCACAAATCTATTGATCTATTAAAATAACTGGGTTGTTTAGAGAACATAGCCTTCTAGTTAATTAACAGTAAAGAAAAGCAAATGTCACCACAATGATGTGGCACAGAAAACTGGGATCAGAGGGATGTAATGTTGAGTAATTGTAAATTCCATCGGGAAAGGCAATGTCTGTTTATCTTTTTTTTTTATGTAGATAATGTACCAAAATGTGGGCTACATTGCACTACTTAACCGGCCTTATTTGAGGCAAGCCCCAGATACTGCAACTCACGATTGCATTGTGTGCATCAGCTGTTGTCTTACATACCTCTTTCCCATAGACATTGTTAATGAAACACTGCAACATAAATTACGCCATGGCTTTTTGATTTGAAATAATGAAATAGAGCAATTTAACGAATCCTTCTGAGAAGAACAGAGAATAGCACACAATGGAATTAAGGTTTTCTAATAGCTTTAGAGATTCAGCAAAGATGGGGCTGCAAGCAGACAGGAGAAATGGGCCTCTGAAGTATCCATAACGCTTTAAGGGCTGTTTTAAAACGCACAAACGTGCAGTCAGCTGAAACCAGAGACGACATAATACCGTTAACAATAGCACCATTCAAAACGTATCACTTTGCCAGTGTGTTTTCTTTAACCTAGCTTTTATGGCTAGAAGTGTAAAAGTGTTTGCAGCAGCAATAACTCAATGATAGGGCCTAGGATTTATCCCAAATGGCACCCTATTCCTTATATAGTGCCCCATGGGCCCTGGTCAAAAGTAGTGCACTATAAAGTGAATAGGGTGCCAGTTGGGACGCAAGCCAAAAATGTGTCTATGAGGACATTTTGAACATAACAGGGAGAATGGAGGAGGAGAGAGGGATGAGGGAGGAGGTGTTGAGGGAGGGGGGAGGAGGGGTTGTCTGTTTGAGGGTGTGTGTGAGGGATTTTCTTCAATTTCACGACAACAGAGGGGAAGCATTAGGCGTTGGCAGACAGACATCCACTCCCATTGTCTGTAGTAGTGCAACAGGGATGAAAGAGCCTGCTCTAAGTGGCGAGAGCTTACTCTACCCTGAAAAAAAAAAGGTTCTTCCTCAGCTCTTAAGGTTCCTTGGAGAACTCTTGCCCGATAAATAACCTTTTAGTTAATTTTGGGGTTCTTGACTTGGCGTCTACGGTTCTTCCGAACTCTAAAAGGTTCTTAAAATATATGGAAGCCTGCAGATGTCCCTTTCATAGCACACAGCAAATTAGCCAGTGTTAATTAGTGTATATTTTTTGTGTAACATTTCTAGTGTTGATTCAAGAATAAAATTACAACTATAATTAGTTAAATTAACACTCAGTGGTGTAACATACCCCGTGTTGGTGTTAATAACCAGCGTTGAACCAAAACCATGCCCATCATGTCATATTTCCCAGCATGCTCTATTGCAGGTAGATTTTTTGAATTGTTTCAATATCTGTGTTTTTGTAAATTGATTGGTTCATTAATCTTATTCTACTCAAATATAAATAACATACATTCTCTAAACTATTCCATTATTTTGTTACCGAAATGGTTATTCAGTTTAGATGTTTAAGATGGTCTCATATGTGAGGCTTTCTGAATGAATTCTGAATGCAGTTTGCAGGTGAATAATATTTCCAAATGTTAGATATCCCCACTCAGGCTAGCTTCTAATAGGAGTTACACATCACTTTTCGAGAAAGCAAAATGTGACTTGTAGGCCTGATGTGGCATATAATGAGTTTCAGGCCACTGTATTAGGGTAACACTAGGACATCAAAAGACAGCCTTACTTAAAGAATACATTTGAATGATATTCACGTAGGAACTCACTTGGTGAAGGCCACAGGACTTAAAAGGAATGAATGCAACAACCATGTCTCTGTCACTAGCAAACACAGTCATGGGTGGTACTGGAAACTCACACGCAAATTCACACGCAAATAACCCTGGGAAATATGCAAATAAAACCCTACAGCTGGGCTATTCAATTCCGGTCCTGGAGAGCCTAAACATTCCTGGTCTGGGATTTTTCTATGGTTCTTCAAAGAACCATCCCATGTATGGTACTTCAGAGACCCTAAAATGGTTCCCCTATGGCGTCGCTCTCAAGAACCTTATTTGGTTCCAACTTGCACCTTTATTTTTAAGAGGGTATCAAACGCAGTACAGAGTCAACAGTATGTGCAGGGTGGGTTCTATGCCTCACACACTCTGTCTAGCTGCTTACACTGTGAGTAGAGTACAGACTGAAAATAACCTTGGTAATAGATTGTGACAAGAGACCCCTTTTGAAACCTGCATTCTTTCCCAACAATGCAGAGTTAAAGATAATAAAAATATTTAAAAAAATGAAAGTGACATCTCAGTACGACTAAACAAGAAACATGCTTTGTTAATGGATAAAGAGACATAAAAGGGTAAAATGGCCACGTGAAGAGAGAGAGAGTGGGAGTCTCTATTGCAAACAAATGGGAATAGGAACAACTGATGAGTTTTTGAGGAAGGAACTCATATAAACAGAAAGTGAATCCGAGACAGTACTCCTAATTACGGTGGAACCGTTCATAAAGGGTTCTAGGAAGAACCCTTCAAAGATAAAAGGGTTATCGGTAGAACTCTTCATTCTATGTAGAACCTTTTAGAGGATAAAATAGTTCTTAGTAGAAGCGTACATAGAGGGTTAGATATAGGGTTCTAGGTAGAACCCTATTTTTTATAAGAGTGTATTAGTATAATTTAATCATCATTAAGGCACTCAAATCAAGCCAAAATAGACAAAGATAAGATATAGGCACATTTGATAAATATTTCATACATAAACACATTTTGACCACTGTTTTCAATAGTGTGCAACTGCAGCCTGCAAGTTGGGGCATTGCTGCATGTGAGCATTCCTGCATCTGCAGGAATGCCCCCCCGAGCATCCCATTGGGTCCTTCATGAATACCCTCCCTTGAGCATCCCATTGGTTCCTGCATGAACATCCCCCCCAAGCACCCCATTGGTTTCTGCATGAACAAATTATTATAGATGACATCCCACACCCCACAGCATAGCCTTTTTGTCTTCTACCAATCAGGTGGTTGTTCGACGATAAACAAAGCTACAGACATCATTGATCACATGCCTCCAACTGATTATAGGCTACTAAAGCCAACGACTTACCACTGCACCACGTTGTTATAATGAAAACAATGGAGAAAAAAATACCTCAATCTGATAATCACATGCTGCTAATTATTGTGACCAGAAGATGTCTTACTAGTTAGGGACACCATGTGCCCGCCTGCTGTGTACCAGCCTAGCTAAGCTAGCACACAGTGTCCTTTGTTACCGCCTGACGAACACCTGCCCTCGCCGTCGGGAAAACAGTGCCCGACAGGCGGGGATGAAGGACACTGTCTACCGGTATAGAGCTAGCTAGTGACAGTTTTTGCCCCCGCCCCTTCTTCTGTGGGGTTTATCGGCAGCTGGCATCCAACTTTATTGTGCCAGCTGGAGCGCCCCTGCCTTCTGCTTGTCCTAGCTTAAAAATGGACCAATAGAATATAAAGAGGAGTTCCTGCAGATGCAGGAATGCCAACATGCAAGAACGCCCTGAATTGCAGGCCGCAATTGCACCCTTCTCACTTTTTTTTTTTACCTCAACACTAAACACTCCAGACCAGTCAGTACTTTTGGTTGTTGACCTAACCACCTCCAGGGAAGGTAAAGGTTGAGAGGAAGTGAGGAGGGTCTGCAAGTGCCACTTGGATAAACATGGTAAATCCAGTCTCTGGGCTAGGTTTATAAAGGTAAGGTGGACAGAGGAGGCTGATGGTACAGAGCTAAGGTACTTTAAGGGCTGCATCCTAAATGGCACCCTATTCATTTTATAGTGCACTACTTTTGACCTGGGCCCATAGGGCTTTGATTAACAGTAGTGCACTATATAGTAGAATAGGGTGCCATTTGGGACGCATTCCTCATCTCTGGGCTGTATAATGGAAAGGTGGACAGAGGAGGTTGATGCTGTGGACCCAAGGTAGTATAAAGGCTCAACAGCCTTATCTCCCATTATCACATTGATTTTCTTTCGCTTTTTTTTCCTTCCTCTTTGTTCCTCAGGGATCCATCCAGAGATCTGTGAACTCTCATCTCCCAGGGCTACCTACCTATTGGGTCTACCGTCTGCAGAAAAGAGTGTAACACAGAAACCAACCTGTGGGTCTTAGCTAGCTAAGGTAAGTAGCCTATCTATCCACCTGACACTCACCCCTTACTGCCAGTTGCCATGGTAACTATTCACCGCTCACTCGGCCTCTGCCTTAGTACACAATACAATAAGGCAAGTGGTAGAGCAGTACCGAGAGAGAGGCAAGGACTAAAGCAAGTCATCTGTTTGGCAACAACAACGGTCCCAAACTTTCTATTCCAACCCTTTTATGGCACTCTAATGTTTTGAGTAAATCACATAATATGAGCCCTCATTGATATTTCGGTCCCTGAAATGTCAACAGTGCCTAACTGTGATGTTTGACAATCAAAATCTTTATATTTACAAGTCGCAGGTATCTAAAGATATCTGGTATTGAGTGGTTGAATGTGAAACCTTGGGTGGAGGTTTAGCCAAAGGGCAGAGCTAGAGAAAACTCATAAGAAATGCACACAGACGATATTGAATGCAATAAATACCTTCGTTGTCCTTGAGGGTGAAGTTGGGGTTGACAGGGATTCCGCTCAGCAAAGAGAAGGAGAATCGCTGGCCGTTTGCAAAGTCATCCTTATCCACTGCAGTGATAGTCTGAATCACCTGTTGTTTACCAGGAGAACAACAAGAGGAGAATACATCAATAGCTAACTAATAATGAGTCATGACCTGTCTTCATATTCAAAACAGTGCTAACCAAAAATTAAGCATATTTTATGGTCGGCTGCTCATAAGATGTAGGATCGTAATTTGACCTTAATTGTCACAGCAAATATAATCCTGCAGCAACAGGATTTGAACGTTTATTCCATAATAAAAATGTGGTCCTCTGTAGCTCAGCTGGTAGAGCAAGGCGCTTGTAACGCCAAGGTAGTGGGTTCACCCATACACATAAAAACATTTTTATGCACGCATGACTGTAAGTCGCTTTGGATAAAAGTGTCTGCTAAATGGCATATTATTATTATTATAATGTTGCTTGATCAGTGGTTATGCTATTAGCTGGCCAAAAGTAGGCTACATGAAAAGTGCAATACTGTTTCAGTGAATTTATGTAAATCACAAAGCTTGTCGGCATTTCCTGCAGTGCAGTAAACTTATCAGCAACAAAAGAGTGATCAAATTAAAGATCCTACATCTGTATGTTCATGCATAGCTAACAAGTGAACATCCAGAAGTCAGTCCTCAATACTCAAAATGACAAGAACCACAGTTTAAAATGTTTGCAGCGGATATATAATTCACAGTTTTGTTTAGTTATTCTGATCACATGCATCAGACCTATGCATCATGCATTATCATCTACTTAACAAATACCCTGACTGTGTCTGAAATGACACCCTATGCCCTATATAGTGGACTACATTTGACCAGGGTCAATAGATCTCTGGTCAAAAGTAGTGTAATATATAGGGTGTAGGGTGCCATTTCAGACGCAGCCCCTGTCTCCTCAAAACACTTCTCTCTGGCAACCATCTGTTGTCCTCACCGTACATTTCTTTGTGATGGAAGCTGAATTGTTGAGGGCCTATATATTCCAGAACGTACTGCTCCAGCCTCCCAGCCAGTTGGAGTTAGCATCAAAGGCCTGATGGGTGCTCTCATAGATGACCCTTCTGCACTGTTGTCAGCTTGTTACCCTTAATTGGTAAGAGGCTGAGAACCAGCCCAGGGAGAGGCACCCCAGGAGAAGGCTGACCCGGCAGATCCTGCCACTGTGGGTAACGTTTTGATGTGCACAAATGTTTTGAGGTGCACGAAACTGCTACCGCTTTGACTGCCAGCCTATTTAACTGCCAACATGTAAGGCATTCAGAAACTTACATTGGAATTAGAGTACAAGTGCTCCTGGGCTGCTTAAGAGCGCTTATTAAAGGGCAATCAGAAGTTGCTACATCCATTTTTAGGACTTGAATGAATTAATGATATGTACCCATTGATTCTTGAAGAATGTATAAATACCTCATGAGCTTAGTTCAACTGTCGTACCCCATCAGAATCCTTGTTTTACTTGAATGGTTGTAAACAAAGTAAATGTAAACAAACACTATACAGCCTCAAAACATGGTTAAAACTAGAATTTTTATATCATGGATGGTCAGTCCTTGCATCCATAGCTCTGTCTATGAATTTGAGAGTGGTTGGGTTATTCCAAGAAAAGAGTGCATTTTGCATCCCTTGATATTTTAAGTAGAAATTGATCACCAATATAGCATTTTTAAAAGCCTATTATACATAGAAAGTATGTGCCCTTTAATGTAGACCACATGGAGAATTCAATAAATCTGTTTTTTTTATATGAATAAAGACTAGCTAGTGCCAAAACTCTGCATTTTGAAATGTCCCTTGCTGCACTTTCTGTGACTTCTAGGAAGATTTAACTCACTCAACCACAAAATGTCTCCAAGTTTTCCCCATTATTGTAAAGTCCTACACTGTAAACCTTTTCCTGTAAAATGTGTTTAGTGATTCCTTTGTGTCTGTCCATCATTTTAAATGTCCCGAACTGTCATTCTGATTCCCATGTAAAATACCTTTTTGAGTGACTACTAAAACATCACCGATAATATAATTTGTTTTTTTTAAAGAATTCTCAAAATTTTTCAAAAGCAATTTCTCTAATGTCAAACTACCAGGAACTCTGAAAAGACCGACCCAGTGGGCAGGGAACTAGAAGGCTAAGTGGGCAGGGGGCTCACCTTGACTGGCAGTTCTTTGAAAATGCCTATGTCAAGCAACATGGACGCAGTGAGCAGTGTTGCAGGATATTATCTCAAGCAAATTTGCTGATACACAAAGCAACTCAAACAACACTGAAATTGCATGCAACATCCAGTCCTGTCATACATCACATCATGGTTTCACAATTATTATTTTTTGGTTATTGTATTAGCATCAATATAGACAAAACGTGGGCTGTATAACAAATGAAGTTGGCAGCACTGTTTATCATGCTAGCTAGTTCATCTTGGAGAATTTCAATTAAAACTTTACAGGGTGTAGTCAGGGTACTTGTCATTAAATATGTATACTGACTATCAGATAATGTTGATATACTGTATCATGACTAACAATGATGTCAAGAAGATTGTATGACTTTTCCGTTTGGCATGTCTCTTGATGTAATGACATGACAACTGTTTCAGAGTTTTAGGCAACCCTTCCCTAGCTAGCCAGTTACTATCTAACACCAGACACAGATGAAGCAGAAACCTATAAGTATCTTTGCCTTAGATGAATAGGGTAAACCTCTTAATTATATTTGCTGACACACTGCAGTCAAATTTTGGCACTACTAGACTAGCTACCTAGCTATGTAAACAACGCCCCTCTGTGAACACGCCTGCTGCGATGTTGGTTACAAGGCGGTACTTATTTGAATTAGGTAAGAGAATAAGACGTTACCATTGGTGCATTAAAATCTGCATTGCTTGCTGTTTGGGGTTTTAGGCTGGGTTTCTGTAAAAAGGTCTTTATAAATAAAATGTGATTGATTGATTAAAATAAGGCTTTTTGTGATATCACAAAAATACCTTAATAATCCTGCCTCTATCCCGCCTCCTGAATCCAATTGTTTGACATGGGGGAGAAGACCAGTAACTTTATGATCAAACTTTGTCAATGTGAGAAGCAACAGTAATTTTTCATCTTTGGCAGTCCTACTTTGGTTTTTATCCAAATATCATCCAATGATTTAATTCATCCATTCAACTACCTCAACTAGCCAGTGCCCCCACACATTGACTCTGCACCGGCATAGCCTCCCTACTGTTATTTTATTTTACTTCTGCTCTTTTTTTCTCAACACTTTTTTTGTTGTTGTTTAATTTTTACTTTTTTGTTAAAAATAAATGCACTGTTGGTTAAGGGCTGTAAGTAAGCATTTCACTGTAATGTCTGCACCTGTTGTATTCGGCGCATGTGGCCAATACAATTTGATTTGATTTGATTTGATTTTGACTGTTCGGGACCTTTAAGATCAACCCTGTTTCATGAGCTGAACTCTCGTTTTGAAATATTTGTTAACACTTTATTTGGATAGTCTACAGACTATCAGTAACATTTCAACTAACTATCTACTAACCATAACCCTTACCCTAACTCTAACCTTTATTCTAAACCTTACCCTAGCCGTAACCTTAACAAGCAGTTGTTTATCAACAGATAGTCAGTTGCTTATCAGTAGATAGTTTGTTGATAGTATGACCAGTATAGTACCAGTATAGGTATAGTATGACTATCCATATAAAGTGTGACCAAATATATATTTTTAAATACATATTGAACATCTATTAGTGAAATCATAGTGTAAAAGCAGGTGAACTAGTTCTACTCTTTTTGGCAATTTTCTGGTGTTTTGTGGTGGAAAACTGAGCGGGTTGAGCATAACACGTCAACCCTGTTACCCACGTGTCAAACTCATTCCACGGAGGGCGAGTGTCTGCGAGTTTTCGCTCCACCCTGGTGTTTTACTAATGAATTAAGGTCACTAATTAGTAAGGAAATCCCCTCACCTGGTTGTCTAGGTCTTAATTGAAAGGAAAAACCTGCAGACACTTGGCCCTCTGTGGAATAAGTTTGACACCCCTGCTGAACCCATAGACGGAGAGGCTTGAAATATTTGAGCAATTTCCTTTTTTTTTTGTTGCTTGCATTTAATTGCCCCTCCCTGTTGCACACAACAAGCTTTCATTCCACCGTCACAAGGGGATTTATGGCTGATTTCAGATGACATCTTCAACCCTGTTACTTTATTTGGCACTTACTATAGTCTTTTTTATTTAACCTCTTGAGATGAGATAAAAAAATATATAATATGAAGTTGAACATTGCTCTTTATGACAGAATGTTAAAATTAGGTGAAATATACTTTCTAGTTTGTTTTTACCAAGTTACACTTCTCAAAAGGCACCGAATTGGTGGAATGACCCAGTTACATGCACACAATAAATGTGATTGTGGATAGATATAATATAATAGTTTGATTAAAACATTTACATGCTTTGCAAGAAGAAAGATGTCCCTAATAATTCTGTTTACATGGACACATCTGAAATCAGGCTACCTGATGGCACTCTGATAAATGCAGAACATTTCCAAATCAAAATAAACATTCTACCACGTTATTTTTAGTTAGTGTATTTGATTCTGAGTTCGAACCTATAAAGTCTGTATGTGTAAACTATTTCTTATTACCCCTTTTTCTCCCCAATTGGTAGTTACAGTCTTGTCCCATCGCTGCAACTCCTGTACGAGAGCCGTGCGTTCTCCGAAACACAACCCAACCGAGCCGCACTGCTGTCTTGACACAATGCTCACTTAACTCGGAAGCCAGCCGCACCAATGTGTCAGAGGAAACACTGTAAACCTGGTGACCGTATCAGCGTGCACTGCCCACCACAGGAGTCGCTAGTGCGCGATGGGACAAGAACATCCCTGCCGGCCAAACCCTCCCCTAACCTGGACGACGCTGGGCCAATTGTGCGCCGCCACAATGGCCGCGAACCAGGATCTCTAGTGGCACAGCTAGCACTGCCTTAGACCACTGCGCCACTCGGGAGGCCCATGTGAAAACTATTTCGAAGATGCATACATTCAATTGTTCCGAACTCACTCCACTCGCGCTAACAAGGGAGGCTTGCGCTACCGGTGCTGACATATACGCAGATCAAATAAGGTGTTTATATGTCCTAATAATTTGAAAGTTTGCTTATTTCGATTTTGACCTTACGCCGATTATGATAAGCAGAGTAAGGTGTTTACATGACTATTGCATAATCTGCCTACTGCCACAATCAGTTTAATATTGAAGTTTTACTGTGCATGTGCAGTAAACATACTCATTGTTTCTACTGCTGATTGCCGCTTTAAGTGTATTTTTGTACTCTGCTGCTACTTCAATATGGATCACTTAAACTGTGTGCACTATACCTATCCACCTTGAAAAGGCGAACTGCCAATTTGCCAGTTAAATTTCCGTTAAATCTATTTTTTAGATACTAATCTGCAAGTTATAAACAGCTTTAATATTTGTTATTCGGTGTTCATTTATTGAGTAGCACTTTCATTCAATCTCTAACTTTCTGACTCCCCCCCCCACAATTTTTTTAAAATAAAAGGTAGTTATCTTCTTTTGTTCAAGTTTTTGTTGCCATGGTGACACGATTAAACTCACTCTAAAAAATGTATTAGCTGCACCTTACCACCGCCCCTTCCACTCGTGTGTACGTGCGTGATGCTCACCTGTCCTGGCCTCGAGCTCTCACATACAACGACCTCCTTGTCTGTTTTAATTTCAGGAGGGTTGTCATTCACATCCAACACCTGCACCGTGACTGAGACGTGGCTGAGGAGGCTGGGGTTGTCTGGAGAAAACATCAACACAAACAATCATGAATAATATTAAAACAGAAGTGAGAATATGTAGAGAAGTTAGGCAGGTCTGAAGCCGAAAAATTAAGGAAATTCACATGAGCACTACAAGGCCTTACCTCACCCATGCTCTACCAAAGTTTTCCAACACACATCTTTGACCTACAGATCTTAGTTTGATCACTCTTTTGTTGCTGAGAATTTTACTGCGCCACAGGAAATTAAAATGAGCTTTGTGGTCCTCTGTAGCTCAGCTGGTAGAGCACGGCGCTTGAAACGCCAAGGTAGTGGGTTCGATCCCCGGGACCACCCATACACAAAAATGTATGCACGCATGACTGTAAGTCGCTTTGGATAAAAGCGTCTGCTAAATGGCATATTATATTATTATTATATTATATTATTACATAAATTCACAAAAAAATGCACTAACACAGTTATATTAACAGTATTCCACCTTTCATGAAAAGGGCAATTATTTGAAAATATATAGGTCCGTTACAATTTCTAAATACTTTCTATCTAGTTCAAGAGTTAGAAGTTCAAGAGTTGCCTGGAGTTTTTATTAAAATATAAAATAAACCCCCCACAAAAAAATATATATAACTATCCGGCCATAGTTTCCCCACCCCAGATACATAGCATAAATCTTTGAACAAATACACTCACAAGGATGTAGAAGAAACACAAAGATATCTCGGCCCATATTCTTTAAGCATCTTGGAGTAGGAGTGCTGGACAGCAAATTCCCAATGTTAAATAAAAAACTATAAACACAGAGTGTTAAATCAACACTGAAAGTGTGAAATCTGTGGACAGAGTGGAACAGTGTTAAAGGTCCATAATACTCATTCTGAAAAGTACTTTCTCTCATGGCTAACTACAAGGAAGTTTGAAAAAACAGGCTGAGTGGGAAGGGAGCTTATATTCATAAGCTCACCTTGACTGAAAGCTCTTTGAAACACCTATTTCAAGCAACTTGGAAACAGTGAGCAGTGTTGCAATACATTTTACATTTGGTGATACATAAAGCAACTCAAACATTGTAATTGCATTAATGATATCACATTTGACATATCTCCTGTTTGGCATGTCTCTTGTGATGCAGTTAAAAGCAGAACTGATGTGTTGACTTGACAACTGCGTCTGAGTTTTGAATGACCCTTCCCCCCCTTTTGTTCCATGCTGGCTGAAGACCTAGCTAGCCAGTAACTAGCTAACACCAGACACAGATGAAAGGTGAAACATATACAGTGCCTTCGGAAAGTATTCAGACCCCTTGACTTTTTCCACATTTTGTTACGTAACAGCCTTTTTCTAATATTGATTAAATTGTTTGTTTTCCCCCTCATCAATCTACATGCAATACCCCATAATGACAAAGCAAAAAAAGGTTTTTAGAAATTTGTGCAAATGTATACAAAAACCCCCCCGGAAATATCACATTTACATAAGTATTCAGACCCTTTACTCAGTACTTTGTTGAAGCACCTTTGACTGCGTTGCCTTGGCTGTGTGCTTAGAAGTTGGAAGGTGAATCTTCGCCCCAGTCTGAGGTCTTGAGCGCTCTGGAGCAGGTTTTCGTCAAGGATGTCTCTGTACTTTGCTCCGTTCATCTTTCCCTCGATCCTGACTAGTCTCCCAGTCCCTGCTGCTGAAAAACATCCCCACAGCGTGATGCTGCCACCACCATGCTTCACCGTAGGTTTCTTCCAGACGTGACGCTTGGCATTCAGGGCAAATAATTCAATCTTGGTTTCATCAGACCAAAGAATCTTGTTTCTCATGGTCAGAGTCCTTTTGGCAAACTCCAAGCGGGCTGTCATGTGCCTTTTACTGAGGAGTGGCGTCCGTCTGGCCACTCTACCATCAAGGCCTGATTGGTGGAGTGCTGCATAGATGGTTGTCCTTCTGGAAGGTTCTCCCATCTCCACAGAGGAACTCTAGAGCTCTGTCAGAGCAACCTCATGGCTCCCTGACCAAGGCCCTTCTCCCCCGATTGCTCAGTTTGGCCGTGCTGCCAGCTCTAGGAAGATTCTTGGTGGTTCCAAACTTCTTCCATTTAAGAATGATGATGGCCACTGTGTTCTTGGGGAACTTCAATGCTGCAGACATTTTTTCGTACCCTTCCCCAGATCTGTGCCTCGACACAATCCTGTCTCGGCGCTCCACGGACAATTCTTTCGACCTCATGGCTTGGTTTTTGCTCTGACTTGCACTATCAACTGTGGGACCTTATATAGACAGGTGTGTGCCTTTCCAAATCATGTCCAATCAATTGAAATTACCACAGGTGGACTCCAATCAAGTTGTAGAAACATCTCAAGGATGATCAATGGAAACAGGATGCACCTGAGCTATATTTCCAGTCTCATAGCAAAGGGTCAGAAAACTTATGTAAATAAGGTATTTTTATTTTTGGTAAAAACTCAACTCGTCATGCTTTGGGGCTGTTTTTCTGCAAAGGGACCAGGACGACTGATCCGTGTAAAGGAAAGAATGAATGGGGCCATGTATCGTGAGATTTTGAGTGAAAACCTCCTTCCATCAGCAAGGGCATTGAAGATGAAACGTTGCTGGGTCTTTCAGCATGACAATGATCCCAAACACACCGCCCGGGCAACGAAGGAGTGGCTTCGTAAGAAGCATTTCAAGGTCCTGGAGTGGCCTAGCCAGTCTCCAGATCTCAATCCCATAGAAAATCTTTGGAGGGAGTTGAAAGTCTGTGTTGCCCAGCGACAGCCCCAAAACATCACTGCTCTAGAGGAGATCTGCATGGAGGAATGGGCCAAAATACCAGCAACAGTGTGTGAAAATCTTGTGAAGACTTACAGAAAACGTTTGACCTGTGTCATTGCCAACAAAGGGTATATAACAAAGTATTGAGAAAGTTTTGTTATTGACCAAATACTTATTTTCCACCATAATTTGCAAAAAATTCATAAAAAATCCTACAATGTGATTTTCTGGAGAAAAAAAATCTCATTTTGTCTGTCATAGTTGACGTGTACCTATGATGAAAATTACAGGCCTCTCTCATCTTTTTAAGTGGGAGAACTTGCACAATTGGTGGCTGACTAAATACTTTTTTCCCCACTGTATCTGGGGAAGGGTATAAACAATTTCAAATGTTGAAAGTTTCCAAGAGCATAGTGGTCTCCATCATTGGGAAATGTAAAAAGTATGGAACTACCCCAACTCTGCCGTCCGACCAAACTGAGCAACCGGGAAAGAAAGATGTTGGTCAGGGAGGTGACCAAGAACCCAATGACCATTAAGAGAACTACAGAGTTCCTTGGCTGAGATGGGAAAACCTGCCAGAAGGACAACAGTCTCTACACCAATCTGGGCTTCATGGGAGAGTGGCCAGAAGGAAGCAACTCCTGAGAAAAAGGCACATGACAGCACACCTGGAGTTTGCAGAAATGTACGTGAAAGACTGAGATCATAAGGCAAAAGATTCTGGGATCTGATGAGACAATGTAACTATTTGGCCTAAAGATTCCCACGGGGGGCCAGTATGAAAAATTTATGCACTCACTAATTGTAAGTCGCTCTGGATAAGAGCGTCTGCTAAATGACTAAAATGTCAGTTGGATCACTAAAAATTAATGCAAAGCGCTATGTCTGGAGAAAACCAGAATCAGCTCATCACCTGTCTAACACCATCCATACCGTGAAGCATGGTAGTGGCAGCATCATGCTATAAGGACGCTTTTCAGTGGCAGGGACTGGGAGACTGCTAAGGATAGAGGGAACAATGAATGGAGCCAAATACCGATAAATACTTGATTAAAAACCTGCTGAAGAGTGCAAACGACCTTAGCTTGGGGTAAAGATTAACGTTCCAACAGGACAATGACCCAAAGCATACAGCCAAAGCAATGCTGGAATGGCTTTAGAACAAGAATGTGAAAGTCCATGAGTTGCCCAGCCAAAGCCCAGACTTGAATCCCAATGAAAATCTGTGGAAAGACTTGAAGATTGCTGTTCACTGCCATTCCCCCTCTAATTTAACAGAGCTTGAGAAAATCTGCAAGGAAGAATGGGAGAAAATTCCCAAATCCAGATGTTCAAAGCTGATTCAGACATACCCAAGACGACTGAAAGCTGTAATCACCGCCAAAGGTGCTTCTACAAAGTATTGACTAGGGGGTGTGAATACTTATGTAAAGGACATGTTTCTGTATTTCATTTTCAATAAATGTGAAATAAATTCTTAAACGTTTTCACTTTGTGATTATGGGGTATTGTGTGTACAGTGAGGGAAAAAAACATTTGATCCCATGCTGATTTTGTACGTTTGCCCACTGAAAAAGAAATGATCAGTCTATAACTTATTCCCCTCATTAAAATACACATCAATTTATTTAAAAAATTATATGCGTTTTTCTGGATCTTTTTTTTGTTATTCTGTCTCTCACTGTTCAAATAAACCTACCATTAAAATTATAGACTGGTCATGTCTTTGTCAGTGGGCAAACGTACAAAATCAGCAGGGGATCAAATACTGTTTTCCCTCACTGTAGATAGGTGAGGAAAAAGTCAATTTAATCCATTTTTAATTCAGGCTGTAACAAAATATGGAATAAGTCAAGGGATATTAATATGTACTTTCTGAAGGTACTGTATAATAAAAAAAAAATATGTTAACATATTCGCTTAAGATCTCACTTGGTGCAGTCCGTAGGACTGCAAATGGGTGACTGCAACAACCATGTCTCTGTCACTTACAAATACAGTCTTTGGTGGTAATTCTACAATTTATTCTAAAGGCACTCTGGGGAAATATTTGAATAAGGCTTTACACTATGCCAGGTGTCAAACTCATTCCACGGAGGGCCGAGTGTGCGGGTTTTCGCTCCCACCTTGTTTAAATTTTATTTGACCTTCATTTAACTAGGCAAGTCAGTTAAGAACAAATTGTTATTTACAATGACTGCCTACACCGGCAAAACCCAGACGACGCTGGG